CGATGATAAGCATATCTGGCTTTTATTATGATAGATGAACTCAGCTGCTTTTTGAACTGAAAGCAGAATTATGTTTTGTATAGTGTTCCATATTTATCTTTGTGTGTGATATATTCATCTAGCAGTGAATGTTGTAGTGGTGAGTTGCTCTTATTACTATTTAGTATTTCATGATACTTATAGGCTTAACATTTTTTAAATAATTTTTTATTCTATTGAGCTCTTTTTTTCTTGAAATTTGAAATACATGTTGGGTATCCGGGCTGGAGCGATAGCACAGTGGGTAGGGCGTTTGCCTTGCACGCAGCCAACATGGTCGACCTGAGTTCGATTCCTCCGCCCCTCTCGGAGAGCCCGGCAAGCTACCGAGAGTATCTTGCCCGCACGGCAGAGCCTGGCAAGCTCCCCATGATGTATTCGATATGCCAGACACAGTAACAAGTCTCACGATGGAAATGTTACTGGGCCCGCTCGAGCAAATCGATGAACAACGGGAGGACAGTGACAGTGACAGTTGGGTATCCTAGATTGAAGTCTTTTGTATTGAGAATGTCTTCATTTTGTAGTAGTTTCTATATATTCTTACTTCTCAATCATAAGCAGGAATTCTTAACTTATTAATAAAGTTCATTTTTTCCAGTTTATCTTTTATAATTAGTGCTTTCTTGCTGATTTTTGCCTATCTCAAGGTCATGTAGATAATTTCTGAAACCTCTATTTTACATAATTATATTTGCAGTAAACAGGATTGATTTTTATATATGATTATATAGAGCTTTGGTTATTTTTATTTAGATATCCAGGTATTCTGACAGTTTTTATTGAAAGAACCTATTAGGTTTCACTTTGTTATAAATTAAGTATTCGGGTATTTATAGAAATTGTTCCTGTACTCCCTTCTTCTGTTATTTAATTTCTTTATGCTTATGCCAATACCACATTGTTTAGATTTGTGTAGCTTCATAACAAGTTTTTGTTTCTGGCACTCTAAATTCTTGATTTTGTTTTTTTTATTGTTGTTAATTTTCAGCTGTATTTGACAAATTGTCTGCTTACTTATAAACATTGCAATTTTACAGTGCACATTCACACAAACCTCCTAGGGTTATGAGTTGGGAATGCAATAAATCTGTATATCTATTTGGGGAGGAACTTTTGTCTTTTAAATATTAAGCAAGATGGGCCTTCCACATATTTAGTCTTCTTAATAATTAAAAGTTGTATTCATGTTCCTAATTTTAAAATTTATTTTTATATACTGATTATTTTTTTAAATGCTATTATGTAGCATACATAAATACACACACACTTTTCTCTTTTAGGGGCTATCCCTGCCTCCCTCCTTGCCACTAGTGGTGCTCAGTGCTAGGTGGGTTGAGAGTTATCCCCAGTAGGACTGAGAAGCCACCAGAGCTGCTGCACATGGAGGCGTGCAGGGTCAACATCCACACTGCAGGGAACCAACTTCGTGTCACTTGTACTTGTGTTAAACTTGAGTCACTTGAGCTACCACCCTGGTACCATGATCTATATTTAAAAAATTTTATAGGGTACCTGCCTCATATGTGGCCCACCTGGATTTCATCCCCAGCACCACCTGTGGTTCCCCTGGCACCACCAGGAGTGATCCTTGGGCACAAAGTCAGGAATGAGCCCTGAGCACCGTGGAATATGACCAAAATTTTTTTGTAATATGTACTCATTTTTTATAAGTTGTTATAATTAGATTTTGTACATGTCACTGTTAGATCTAGCCACTTGTTACATTAATTTCTTAATCCTATAATTTTGTCTTTAGAGCCTTTGGATTTTCTTCTAGATTTCCATATATCGTCATATCATTTATGAAAGATGACAATTTTATTTCCAATTCTTTTTTTTAATTGAAGCTAGAGGAGATCATTTATTATAATGACCAGAATCTAATATAGTGTCAAATAGAAATGATGATGGTAATCTCATAGCCAAGGGTTTTAGCATTTTATTACTACATATTGTGATTGCTTTATCTTTATAACTTATATAGAAGTACCCTTCTGGTTGTTAGTTCAATGAAAGTTTTTATTATTATCTTTTATTATGAATGTGTGTTCTCTTCTAAGCCACAATTTTTTTTCTTATTGGAGTCTGCAAATATATGTTAAATGCTGCGAGTTGACTAATATTTTCTTTTTCTTTGATTTGGTGTTTGGGCCACACCCAATGGTGCTCAGGGCTTTCTCTTGGCTCCAAACTCAGGGATTGCTCCTGGCAGGCTCAGGGGACCATGTAGGATGCTTGAGACAGAACCCGGGTTGCCTGTATGCAAGGCAAGCTATCTGTACTATCACTCTGGTCCAACATGATTGTTTTCTACAGTGTTTTGCTAACAGCAGTTAATTAGGAGCCCTAGCAGGGAAAGGCATTTCCCTTAATTCTTCATTCGATATCACAAGCTTGTCCTTCATTGATAAATCTAGATTTGAACCAACTCTCTTGAAGGGAATATAGGAGATGTAGTTTCGGGTTTAGAAACTTCTTAGTTTTATTTATTTAGGTAGTCTTTTTTTTTTTTTATGGATCACAGTGGGGTACAGTTATACAATGATCAAGTGCCCATCCCTCCACCAGTGCCCGTTCCCCACCACCAGTGTTCCCAGTATCCTTCCCCCCCACCCCCCCAAATAACTTCTTAGTTTTAGAATATTAGAATGAGGGTGAAATGAAAGCCAGTACAACATTTTTAACATATATGTAAATTAAAAAGTCATTGTCTTAAAGATGGTGAGTGGTAATTCAGTATTCTAAATAAATTCTTATTGCTTAACATTGCCAATAGTACATAATATGTAAGACTTTTTGATCTTTTGATTTTTAACTTTTTTTTTTTTGATAGCACAGTGAGTAGGTCATTTGCCTTGCACGCGGCCAACCTGGTCGACCCGAATTCAATTCCTCCACCCCTCTCGGAGAGCCCAGCAAGCTTCTGAGAGTATCTCGCCTGCACAGCAAAACCTGGCAAGCTACCCGTGATGTATTCAATATGCCAAACACAGTAACAACAAGTGTCACAATGTTACTGGGCCCCCTCCAGCAAATCAGTGAACAATGGGAGTGACAGTGATTATGGCCGATGATCCAGAATACATATCAATTAAAGTTTATGTTTGACTTACGTTAATATATTAATATTTTTAATTAATATTTTTAAAGACATAGGAAAATCTGGGAGTATCTTAGTAACTAAACAGTTTAACAAGCTTGTTACTATGTAATTCTGAGATTATTTACAAAGATAATCATAAAATCAATTTCTTGCATAACAAAGTACATATGGAAACTTTTACATTTCTGTTTCATATATTCAGTAATATGCTGTTTTTCATAAATGTTTATAACTGTTAAGATCTTTTTTTTTTGCTTTCTTTTTTTTTTTGCTTTTTTTGGGTCACACCCAGCAATGCTCAGGGGTTACTCCTGGCTTTGCACTCAGAAATTACTCCTGGCGGTGCTTGGGGGACCATATGGGATGCCGGGGATCGAACCCGGGTTGGCCACATGCAAGGCAAATGCCCTACCCGCTGTGCTATCACTCCGGCCCCGCTGTTAGGATCTTGATACGTGAATGTCATGGAACCTTTAAGAACACAAAGCCTAATATAGCCTCCTTCATTATTGCCCTTTTGTGCTCCATGCTATACCACATTTGTAAATCTTTTCTCTGCTTTCTCTTTCTTTATAATAATGAATGATATTGTACCTGCAAAAGACCTGAATAAGGTCAGGGCAGTTGCACTAATGCTATCTAGAGTTGTTATTGGAAGCTTCTGATGTCCTGGGGTATTTTTCCCCCAGGTTTGGGGTCACACTTGGCAATGCTCAGGGTTTACTCCTAGTTCTGCACTCAGGAATTACTCCTGGTGGTACTCAGGAACCTATATGAGATGCCAGCGATTGGCCACATTTAAGGCAAACACCCTTCCCACTGTACAATCATTCTGTTCCTGTTTTCAACAGCTATATAGTTTGGTTACTCAAGTGGAGAATACAAATCAAAAACAAACACAGGAGAAATCGGTGAACTGTAATGTGATGATTAATTTGAGCATTAAGGAATGAAACCACTCATTTAGGACTGAAAGTTAGAAGGCATGGGACACTTAAAGAACTTTAATGTGACAGTTTGGGGTTAATATTTTTGTATGTCAAATGATACTAGTTGGGTTTATAAAGATTTTTAATTTGGGGGTCACTTCTTTTTTTTTTCCTCCCTCTCCTTGGTATGTGCATTAAAAAAAATTCGTTAAAAAGAACTCTTCAAGAAATCACTAAAATTTTACTTTTGGGCATAGTGAATCTACACTAGCTTCAGATATATATTCTTAACAGGATCATTTCAGAGCCAGGGAATATTTTCTTGAACATTTTTACTATCATTTGTTGATTCTTCTGTAGTAGCAAATATGATTTTATGGTAGTACATAGTTGTGTTTTATAGATGTTTTTATGCCATGTTTCGTTTTTTTTTTAATTTATTTTGTTTTTATTTGTGAAAATATAAAGCTTGATAAGACTGACAGATTGTGTGGGTTGCTTTACTCCTTTATTTTTTTCAGAGATAAATATTCTTCCTTTAGAGAAAGTTTAAGAAGATTTAGTTTATTTAACCTGGATTTATTTTCAGAAAATTCTGGGTTAAATATTTCAATGTTAATGTCTTGTAAGTGAAATGTTTCAGTGTTTTCCAAATGATCCTTCATCATATCTTGCTTCCATTATCTTTTTCAGAGGTTCTCTCTTTGATTATTTGGTATCTGGAGTGCTTCACTAAACAGTTTTAGTGGAATAGTTTTAATGTCTGCTATTTTGAAGTCTAGACAGCTTTAAAAAAATTCTTCAGAAGTTAAATATGTAGGAAATGCCAGAGGATTATAATTGAGTGTTTTTCTGTATTTGACACTTTGAACAATGTCAATAGTGAAGTGCATTTTAATCCACTTGTTTTTCTTTTGTCCTCTCAGGTGGATCTCCTTACTTAGCAACCAAAATAAATGAAGCAAAAGACTTGTTAGAATCAACCACCAAACATTGATCTATGCCTAAGGACCACCCTAAAGTGGAAGAAAGGATAACTCGACAAGAAAAATCCTGCAAACGAAATGACACCAATGTTTCATAATTTTCATAATTGTACTGACCATAGTTCATTTGTTCATGACTAAACTATATAATAATAAATGATCAGTAACCTCTCTTTTAAATTATTTTAAAGGCATATGTTAAGCTTGTGATCTTTTGTCTTTATTTATTTTATTTAGACATTCTCTAACAGGCACACGTTTCAAGGTTCTTGTTCCTCCGTACTCATTACTCCTCTTCCCACACCAACACAAAGGCATGCCAGAGGTACGATCATCAGCAGTATGACTGGGTTTTGTGAGCAATGAGTGAACATTTTCTTACCACTTATAATTATATTCTCACTATCTCTTATTTCTGCAGAGGAATTTCATAATCTGCTTCTTCTGCAGGGTACTTAAAATGTCTTGAAATAAATTCACTGCCACCCCAGGAGGAAATATCAGAATCTTAATGGCATTTACTAAATAGTGTTTTGTAAAGTAGTGGTAGGACTGATTTAGCAAAGAACTCTGCTTTCTCTGAGACCCTATAGCTAATGCATGAGAACTTGGAGGCCTACTAAAATGATTAAATATTTAAGAAATAAGCCCTAAGAGGAAATGCAGAGAGCTGGGGAACTCTGAGTTTGTGTTTCTTTACCTATATTTTTTATCATATCATTTCTTCTGATACTGTATGTTTAATTCTATGACTATCTCTTGGTCACTTATAATGTATATGATGGTATAGTGTGCCCTCTGAGGGTCCTAGGTGGGACCTTTTCATTATCTGACTGAAAGGAATTTATGTTTAGAAGAAAGACAAATAACATGAATACTACTTGGAACTGATCGATATGCTAAAGAACTTTCAAAAGAAAAAAAAAATTAGGTGATGCCTCAGGGGGCACTTCATTGAATCAGTAGGATAAAGCTGAGCTTTTTGGAAGAGGAGGTTGGTATTGTTGCCCTGAGCGGAGTTAGAATAGAAGAAATGGGGATATATTAATTAGTGTGATTGTAGTGCGGTTTCTCAAAAAGAAGAGATCAACACATACTCTTGAAGGTTCAGCCTATGATTTACGTGCATTAAATTATTTTTCAAAATAGCTCCCAGTCATTATTCTTCAAAGGTGAGAAAATAGTTTCAGACACTGAGTACCAGTGTTATTTTCCAATTCTCCTTTATGAGTCATGATTTCACTCTAGGTAAGCTGAACAACTGTGTTTTATCTATTTAACAACTTTTAAATATTCTAGCTGCATCTTTCCATTTCTGACATCCACCAGTTCTTAGTATTGGTAATATTGACATATGGAGGTGGAAAATTCCTTTCTGTGGGAAGCTATTCTGTGTGTTGTAACGTGGCTAGCAACATCCCTTCTTACTACTCACTCATGACCAGTACCATCTCTTCAGTTCTGACAACCAAAAATGTCTGGTCATTGCCACATATCCTGGGGAGGACACAGTGCCCTCTGGTTTTATATGTTCAGTGTTTATTTCCTTTTGCTGCATAAAATAATGGCATGGCATAAATTGATTAAATCTGAGTCAGTAAAATAGTTTTTGCTCTAATATGTCCTTGCAGACCTACATTCTGTCTCTGCATCTGTCTCTGTCTGTCTGTCTGTCTCTTCTCCCCCAATCCCCCTTCTCTTTTTCCTGTTTTTCTTTTTTTTTTGCAGACTGTTATCCTGGTACCTTGAATGTCCTCTTAATCCCCGGATCACCACATGCTCTTCCCCTAGCAGTAGTTCAAGGCCAAAATAGAATGTTTTTCTCCTTTCCTGGTGATTCCAGCAAAGGTGACTTTATGAGTCATCAGCTTTCTGAAAGCAGGGATCCTATCTATCTTGTTCACTGCTACATTAGCACCCAATAAATATTCATTAAATGAATGAATTCCCATGGCAGTTTATTTATCTCTCACGGTACTTAGAATTCCGTATATTGTACAGCATGCCATACTGCTCTTTAAGGACAAGAACCTCTAGATCAAGAACTTTATCATTGTTCTTTACTATGGGACAGTTTCACTTAATAGATATTGTGAAGTTGTAAGTACAAATATATTCTGAATAACATGCTTCAAAATATGTTACTTCTTTTGGACATGATACAGAGACATATCAAGGCTACCTCAGGACATCTTCTAATTAATACCATGTTTTCTAATCTGCAACCTATTCAAGAGAATGAGTCTCCAGCATTTGCTTGGAATTTCATTCCTATTTTCTTGTTAATCAAGTGCCTTCTTTCTGAATACTGTTCTCCTATTATATGATCTTGAACAATTAATCTGCAAGTGTGTGTTGCCTAAACTATAAAGAGAAAAAACATTAATTTTTTTCTAATAAAGATGTAGGGAATATGAACAACAACAGCATTCATTCATGTAGCAAATGCTAAAATTTTTAAGTTATTGTTCTTTTGTTGTAGCACATAGTAAAGAAAATATTTGTTGTTGTTCCTTGAGTTGAGGTTCGAGGTGTGTCCCAGTGATCATTTACTTAACTACTGAATCTGCAGCTTACTTGCATGTGGTGGTGATAGCTCATTTCTGTTGGACACCAAATGAACTGAAAGAGCCTCTCCATAGGCTGACAAGCTGGTATTGGCGATTGTCTCAAAGGTAACTAGAATGTCATCTGGGTATCTCAGTCCCTCTCGAGATCTACAGGGCTGCTGGACTGACATTACACAATGGTAGCTGTGCTATGAGAAAAAGTACCTTCAGAGACAGAAACTGACACTTATTCTGGCTCCTGAGTCACAGAGCCTTCATAGAATCAAAAAGGGATGGAGAGACTATAAAAGAATAAGTGGGCTGCTTCAATATGAAATATAGCAGGGATTCGATTTTTTAACTGTTATTCAAATTACTTAACTAGAGCATTGCTTTCACATTTTTGGTGGCTTTTTTTTTTAAGTAATGTAGAATTTACAACTAACTGAAAGAATGTAGAATTTATAACTAGCTGAAAGACTTTAAGGTGACACCACTGCTATTTTAGATAGAAATTCAGCAGTTATTTCTCTAAATGGCAGTATACTTATGAAAATGGGTTCTAAATAGCTACCCACCCTCAATACCTTATCTGTTAAAACAATGCTTATTTGAATGGTTACCTGTATGATTGTTTTTACGTATCTTTGTTCTTACATATTCTGCTTACTTAAGTTCTTGTTGGTATTGTAATTCTTTCTTACATGCAGTCTGAGGAATAGGGAAAGACCTTTTAAAAATAAAGTTACCAGATTTCAGAGAAATTGTAAGTCAAATATAAGTCACATAATTCTAAGGTAGCACAGTGCCATTGATGGCAGTTGATGGAACCAGTCTCTAGCATTTGGGGTCAAAAATCGAGAGTTAGTAAAAAATAACATATATACATATATATATATACACACACATATGCTGATTGTGACATGTTACATAATCTTCAAATAATTTCCTTGTCTTGAAATACATCTTAGACATTCAGTAAACATTGAGCACTTACTATGTTGGAAAATAAAGATGTGTTTGTTTTAAAAATATGTCGTGTGCTCAAATTAGAAAAAACCTACATAGTTAATTTTATTTTCCTGATATTTTGTATGAGCAAAAAATATCAAGAGTTGTATTACTGGACATGCTTTATAATTTACCCAGCAGAGTCATTAGAATTGATATGTGATATTAACGTATAAAATTCTTTAGTTTTTATGGAGAATCACAAACACAGAAAGGAACTTTTCATGATGTTTGTTCAATACATCTGGCAGTGAACTTTGGTTGGTTTATTGACATTTGTGGGAGATGATGAATCAGCCAGGACCTTAATATTTCTCTGACTCAGTTCAGGATGAACTATTAAGGCTGGAGTGTGAAGTTATTTCACACAGTGGGAACTATGCCATCCACAGGTGTTCTGCACTTCACCTAGCAGTCACCTGAATTTGACTGTGGTGAGTGAATATGTTAGCATTACCCAGCCCTCCGAATGGAAGAGCAGTCCAATGCATGCAGCCTAGTTGATGCTAGGTCAGCATGATCTGCTTGTCACATATACTCCATGAGTCATAAGTCAAATGTTTATTTGTGATAGAGTCAGACACAAATTAAAATTTTTCTATGATAAAATTTATTAGCTGTGAAAGTTGAGAAGTTCTCTGGTTGGTGCTTTTTTTTTTTTTTAAGGTGGAATCTAAGTGATCTGGATCATTGCCTACTAGTGAAATTGCTGGGCATCGTAGACAAAGGAAATGTTCCTTCTAATGATTTTTATGAGCTGAGAGTAGCTGTTGTTCCCAGCTGAGTGCTCTTTTCCTTTTTCTATTGTTGCTGAGCAAAAGACTTTATAAAAAGCTTTTTTTTTTTTATTAAAAACTGCTCAGTTGAAATACAAGTTCATTAAATACTGTTCATTTCTCTTTTTGCCATAAGGGCCATTCTTTGTTCTATAGAGCCTAGTATCACTCTTCAACATTTTAAGTCTGGATAGACATAGATAGATAGATAGATAGATAGATAGATAGATAGATAGATAGATAGATAGGTGAGATGGGCTTTGATTTCAAATGAACAGAGTCATCACTCAGGCAAGATGCTTCCCATAAAGTACAAGTTATGCCTTAACTTCAAGGGGGAAGATAATCTCTAGAAAATTCAACCCGTAGCAGGAAACTTAATTCTCTTTTAGCACAATGAGAGTCACCTTGCAGTTGTCTAGTCTTGGGGATGGCACTGTCTTGGCTCTTTGATGATTGTGATCTCTGGTTATAGATTGCAAAAAAATAGGTCTCCTGAAGGACTGGTATCACTTGGCATTAATATCACCTTGAGATACTGGTTTATTGACATTTATATTATAATACTGTGCATTGACTCAGGTTCCCTCCAATTTGTACCACATGGTCCCTCAATCCCACTAGGAGTAGTAACTCCTGAGTGCAGAGCCAGGAGTAAGCCCTGAGCACCCCTGGGTATGGCCTCCAACCCATAAAATAACCAAACAACTATAATGTTAATAATCAAGAAATTAGTATCAGCTCATTTTCATAAATTTACAATTTTTTTTTAGTCATAACAATGTCTAAATCAAAATCCTACTACTTACACTTGGGTGCCTTGTTACCTACATTTGGGTGCCTTGTCACCTTAGCTTG